GGCTGGTTTGGGATTGGCAACGCCCCAAACCACCCAAACTAGCCCAAAACCCAGAAAGCCCATCCCCAGAACAACCCTAAAGCCAACAGTCACTGCTGAACGAGCCGCACACCCTGCACAAATCAGCTCCAAGCCAACTCCAACCCCTCCCAAAGTCAATCCCCAACCTGGTCCAGGTGATGCTGGGGATGTTGCCAGCCAAATGGAAAAGAAACAGCCCCAGTAAAAACAGAAGCACCAGCGCATGATGACTGGCACAGGGCAATGACCGGCAGGCCAAGAACGTGTTGCTTTTCCAGTCCTTGGAAATGTGGAGAACACTGCCGATTAGATGATTAGATTTGCCTGTCAGACCCAGGCGCTGAGTCGATTGAGGAGTGCGAGACTCATGGTGGCCGACGGATTTGCGAGGCTCCATCTCTCGTAGCTGGAAGCGCCAGAGGTTTGCTTTGAACATTTGAATGAGCGTGCGCACTCGTGCGCACTCAATGCGTGTGGATTTGGCGGATTGCTGGTTCGTTCAGACCGCGCAGGGGCCTCCGGGAAAAGCGGGCAGCTCGGGTGAGTATGGTGACGATGGCGAGCCGGGCGAGGTGCGCTGCGGTTGGAGTGATTGTTTTGGCAAATTTCAGCATGCAATTTCAGCATGTCTAACGGAGGAGGGTGGTAACATGTGGTAACCCTTGTGCCTATCCCGGAAATAGCCCTCAAAAAAGTCCGTTTTGCGAGACGTGAATATATGCGTTAAGGGAGGTTTACACTGACCTTCAAGTCCTGAAGCGCAAGTGCCTGCGCACATTAGTTCGCTTGAATGAGCAAAAGCAGAATAAAGCTGTTTTGCAGCAAGTTTTTCTTTTTCCAATCATGTGCAAGATGCTTTTGCTCACAGTGCAGTGTGTAACAATTTGACAACATGTTCTAGATTTGGCTCGTACAACATGGTTGAACTCACACAGGTCGTGTTTTCAGTGTTGTGTCATGATGCAAACGAGTTGATTTAGTTTTTCCGTGGCTTGCAGAGGTTTACTTTGTCCATGCCTTGGCCAGCCAAGTGACCAAGAAACCGTGACAGTCGGATCTAAGCTTGGCAAACAAATGAGGAGTGGGTCCGTCTTCATGCTCCACCACGGACTTGGACTTGGCAACTACCATTGTAGTTTCCGTGTCCATCGCCTGTCTTCAGACCTTCAGTGAGCACTGCTGATTAGACCACAACAAGTGCATTCGCCTGGCTTCCTAAGTGCCTTAGCACACATCAGCAACACATTCAGAAATGCGTAAGAGGTCTGCTTTATCTATGCTCCGCTTGGGTTCTCGCAAAAGACCAGGCAACCCAGGCCCCCTCTCATGGCCAGGATGGCCCGGAAGGGCCTGAGGGCTCGGCCGCAGCCCTACTTGTGTAGGGAAGCGCGGAGCTGCGGATGTGGCTCTGGGATTGAAGCAAACCTCGAGGGTTTGTCTCAAATATCACGGGCATCATTTTTTTCAGAAAGGCCACACTCTTCTGTAACCATGCCATGCAAAACATGCGACGTTTTGGAAGGGCCTGGGAGTCGAGATGCTTTGTGTTTGGTCTTAGGTCCTCAGCATAGGACAACCCTTGGTGAATTTCACAAACGCAGCCCTTCCCCTGATTGCATTGAGTGCCATTTCGTTGTTCCGTAACAGATCATGAGAGCAGGTTTGATCGGGGTGTCCCGAGCAGTTCTGACAGTTGTGCGGACGTCGGCATCCAATTCCGTTCGGCATAGGAGACCTTTTGCATTCGTTGGTTCACTGGAGCTTTGAAGGTTTGATTTCAACCCCTTAGATGCAATTTGTTGAGTTTAGAGGCGGCCACTCAGTCAGCATTGCCGTGCCCCGATTTGAGGTTGTGGAGGCTCTACCTGTTGAGGCACACAGCGGCAAGAGCGGCATGGCCCAACCAGCCACACTGGCAGAGCTCATTGGCGCCTCGGCAGACTGTAGAGCCTCCGGCTCAGTCCGCCGACATTTCGACGTTTCCGCTCCGATCGTGTTTGGGCAGACACACGCGCATTTGAGAATTTTATCACACTGTTGGAGTTGGATGATGCTCAAGGTCAAGCCAGAAACAAATCACACATTTTAGGGGACTATTTTGTCATTATGGGAACCCAGTTGAACCCATTCCCCAAACAACGGGCCACTGGAAGCGCCTTGCACTGGGAATGCATACGGATGTGACCACTTGGCATGCACTGAGGCAAACATATCTGTCGGCAGGTAGTATGCTCATAGCCAAACGTGTTGAACCAAACACATGCCCAAAACCGAGCTAAGGCTTCGAATTCTGCAGGTGTTTAGACGTGCAGGTTGTCCGACTTGAATGTGGCTTTGTTCAGCTTCGCGCCAAAAAGACCGCGTCATGAGGTGCAGTGGCTGTGAACCTT